TTTGATAATGTGTGCAGATCACAGATTAACCTCTGATAAGCCTTGTTCTATGGTTCTATGCTCTTTGATGCTTTTTTAGGTTAGGTGTCATAAAATTTCTCTTCAAGAATTCGAAATGTTTTCGCTAAATAGGGCTCTGCAGAAATTGTCGATTGTTGAATTATCAAAATTACAAAAAATCAATGTTCGTTTTAAAGCGAAAATAGTGGATTTGCCTCAGATCGGACATGGCGTATCTTTTAGAAGAAAGGTCCACTTTCCTGATGAGTACACGGTAAAGCCCCTGGAAGTAACGAATCTGGGGGGCAGAGATCCCAAAACTGGTCGAGTGGTAGTTAATGGGATCGGGGGTGGAATTAAACACAAGTACCATTGGATTGATTGGGTACGAACTGGACCCAAGGAAGGGCCACCACAAGTGAGTATTGCTTAGAAACGTTTCAAATACACGGCATATTGAAGGCAGGGTGATACCTAGATCAAATACATTGATATCGTCTATTTCAAGAGAAGTAAATGAATGTTTGATGAATTGATCCGTGCATTTGTGCAGTTGTGCACTGCACTAAAGCAAAGGGATATATATTACAAACCTACAAGGAAAGTGAACGAGCATATTTTTTAGTACAAAATGTAATTTTAATTTTTTTTTAATCGATTCTAACTTTGATCAAATCGATCGATCGATCTCAACGGCAGTAGCCAATCATTGCAAATTTGTTGCAGAATTCAGAAATGAGGGAGAAAAATTGACTGTGTTATTAAAAAAACCAAAGTTGATGTTGGTAGCGCTTTTATGAGACCCCTCTGTAAACTTAATTGTACCATATACAGATCGCAAAATTATGTAACCACAATAGTTTTATTTTTTGCCTATCTCTAACCGTTTAGACGTAATAAAGCGATTTTACATTAATGGGATACTGTAGAATATTCTGTCATTAAAAATGAGATGCTACTTGATAGGCTGACTCTAAAATAGTTTTTATAAAAAAGCCAGTTGATTGTCTTCTACTTCCATAGTCAAATGTATACCTGGATTATATGTGTTCAGATTGTCTAGAAACTTGACTAGATTGTCGCGTTCATTTTTCCATTTTACAAAAATATCATCATAACGTAATAAAAAAAAATTACACGTTGGCTTTAAAATCCCGAAAACTCACTGCTTTTATACAAGTAATTGTTTAGGCTTCTTAGGATATTTGCAATATGCTTAAATCTGTTTGAAAGCAAATGGATTCAAGTTAAAATTCTCAAGTCTTCTTATATTATCATGGTTTCGCTTCAAATTGCATAAGAATGTGTTTTTTTTTCACATATATTTTCTTTATAGCAAGTTTTATTTCTAGTCTGCATTTTTATAGCAAGTATTGTAAACTTCTCACTTTTGTTTGTAGTCAGTCAAAAAAAATAGCTTTTTTAGTATCAATGTTTATTGATGTATTATCATTAAGCGGATATACTCACATAATCTGTACATAATTACTTTAATTTACTTGTTAAGATATGGAAAGCAAAATGCAGCACCCAAAAACATTTCGCACCCGTGACTTTTCTTACATGTTTAAATTAGTATAATTTTTTCATATCAATCTCAATTTTAAACAAATCGCTGCTCCGTTGAAATCTTTGTATAAAGCACAATTATCAGACTATGAAGGCTTTCACGGCCGGTCAGATTACATTTAGGAATGTTTTCCGGGCTTTGAAGCCGTGGTCTATCGGAATTTCTTCCTG